CGTCTCTTTTACAATAGTGATCTATGGGGAACATGCTTTCTGGGCTGCAATATCATGAACGGCCACTGGGAAAAATTTGCTGCAAGGCTAAGCTGCTTGCCTGGGGGCCTGGGTTCAGTGTTTTGCTTAATATCAAATCAGTTTAAAAATCTGTACATTGGTCCAACACAGTGTTGGGCTCGTTTCTCTTGTGGGGGGGGTAATGGTAATGTCCCTGTAGGGTAAAAAGTTAAAAAAAAAAAAAAAAAAAAAAAAAAAGGGAAAAGTAATATTTTTACTGTAATGCATTACTTGTAAGACATTACTACCCAACACTGGCCTAACCCTACCCTGACCCAATTTACCATATCCCATTTTCACTGGGGTAAACATTTTATTTATTTCTCTTCATATTATAAAACATTTGTTTCTGCCTCCTGCTCCTTATTGTTAGTATTATCCTGCTACCTGGAATATTTCACTGCTTTCTGTTCTCGTTTTGCTGCTGACACTTTAATTTTCCACAACGAATCAATAAAGTTCATCTTATCTTATTGAAGCGACGGTTTAAAACAAAGGAGAGCTTAACAGCGGGAAGAAAAATGACTTTCTCTGGCAGTCCCAGCTGTATTTTAATCATTTTTGTTTCTATAAATACAGCCACCTTTCATGATTAGTTTTACACCCACAATGAAAGCTGTGGATTATTGAAGTTAAGTAAATGGACTCACACGTACCATCAATATAGTTTTATATTCTCATTTGAGTTGCTTTCAATGAGGCTTGTTTGACAAGACCAGGGGGAGAGCCAGTTAGGCTTGCACTCCATGTCATAAGTGTGTTATACCTCAAGGATGGTCAAGGAGTACTCAATTAAAGTGTTAGCTCCATCTGGCAAATGGAGTGCTGGTGGTGGTAGCCAAAAACAATTTGGACTTGGTCGATAAATTTGAAACAGGAGAGGTGAAAACAGGTAGGTGTTGTAGTGGTGAACAATCAAAGTTGTAGCATAATGTGAGTCTTGAGAGGGCGATTTTTGATCAGATGCATCACTTTGGTTGTACTTGAGCGCTAATACACACACACACACACACACACAAACATACACACAAGGATGCCAAGAGATCATTCGACCTCTCGAGCTGCATGAATGCTACAATATTTCAACAATATCAGAGTTTTGAGTGCCACAGAGGTCACACAGTGCCACTGTATTACCATATGTTTAACCGCAGTGTTCTGCTGAGTATTGCATCTTTTGCTGAGTATAATTTTAGTGAAGTGTGAGCATTTGTTTTTGTCCTGAATCAATTACTTGACAGCCACGATTTGTTAGAGGTTAATTGGCATGGTCAAAGTGCAGCACACTAGGGACAAAAGCAGTCATAACACACAGATAAAATTCTATGTCACATTTTGGAGCATGAACTGTGGCACGCATTATAACTGCTCTATCATTCATGTGAAGTGTTGTGTTGTCATCATTTGCAATCACAAGTGCATTTATGAAATTCAGACGCTGCTTCCAAGCTTATCTGGGTACATAAATTCCTTCGTGTCAGAAATTGAGGGAAAGGGAGGGAGGGTGGGGGGGTGTTACATGTAATGATATTGCAAAGCACTCAGCTTATATGATTTTACAGGCCCTAACACTTTGATGTGCTCTTCAAGGGGCTGGTATGACTTAATGTAGCTTTGAGGAAGCGTCAGCGAAAACGAAAGAGACCGAGGGAGTAAAAAGAGACGGAGGGAGGTGGGGAGGGGGCAAACAACGTGATACAGAGGGAGATGAGGAGAAGGAGGCAGGGGTGAGGACTGGTCAGGTTTTGCCTCCCTGCTGAGAGTAACATTTTTTTTTAACTAGCACGTAAGCTTCTTGGTGGAAGAACACGGGCCAATTAAAGGGAAAAATAAATAAATAAAAGGCCCCAGCATTGCTGGATCATCTAAAATCAAGCCTTTATATAAGAAAAGATTAAATAACTCACAGCTCTCCTGTCAAAATACACTGAGAACAGCAATATAAAAAATGCAGTTTGTGTACAATTTCTTTAAATGCAACACTTAGGTCGCTCCTGTGAGAAAGTTGTAAATGCTTTGCATCTTGCCGTTTCCCCAGGAATCTTATAGAAATGAAGAATATATGAGAAACATGGCCAAAAAAAAAAAAAAATCAATAAAACTCTCTTTCATGTGTAGCTCAGGCACTGTAGGTTTCCCAAAAGCCCCTAAACTCCAACTGCCTTAAATATTCTATAACACATTCACCTTTTCATTTTCCCTGATCACAGTAAGTGATACTGAAGGCATTAAAGGGATATTTTTGCCGCCTTCTGTGTAGATGGTTCTCCTACTTGCAGAGCCATGCCGGCAGTGTCTGTCTTTCACAATAAAAGCCCACCTTCTGTTTCTCAGAGCATGTTGCTAAGAGGCAACTCAACAAAACAGCTTACAATAGCTTTAGGTGCCAAAAATACTCAATCAATGGTCACCTGCCCTCCCGACCCTGCTGGTGTTGGTTGTCAGTTCAGTTCAGACTTTATTGGTCCCGAAAGGGCAATTCATTTGCAGCTTTACCCGCTCCATACCATACACACTACATCAACAAAGACTCACAGGTGAGGCAGCTACATGTCAGGGACACACAGGTCTACATAGGCTACATGGATCGATACCAGGTAACACTAAGCAAATAAAATATACCGCCTGTTACAGTTTATATCAGTGGTTCCAAATTGGGCCACCCACAGGGTCCAGATTTCTCTTTAGTCATTAGTTGAAGATCCACACAGTTTAATACATTCAGCAGTACTCTACTACTCGTGTTTGACCATGTCATCAAGCTAGTTTGCTGTCTCTGTCAAGCAGCTGTCCATTAGTCACTCAATCTACAGCAGGAAACGGCACAGAAATTCACTGTACTTAAAAACAAAGTGTGTTTTTTTTTTTACAAACTTGACATGTTTGCAAGTCATGTAAGCATGTTTGTCCATACCTTCTTGTACAGCAGCCACAGCCTCGGCTTCTCTCTGCTGCATTACTTCGGCCGTATACTTTGGCTTGAATAGATACAGCTGAATATCGTCAGCCAAAATATACTATAAAATGTATCCCTGTCCATAAAATCTCTAGCACTCTTTTTTTTAGGATGCCATTTTCACTGTTGGAAACGAAGCTAGTTTGCAATACATGCATAGAGAACAAGGACGTTGTGTTTTTGAGCGGCATCCCGAACATGCTCCCTGCCTACCCAGAGGCAAAATCCAACCTTTAGGTCTTCCTCCTTCCAACTACGTCAATGTAACATCAAATTATGGCAGTGGATGTTGGAGGGACGACAGATTTTGCAGCTGCAAACTGCTTTCTCTGTCAATATAGCACACAATGAGGAATTTATTGCTCCAATCGACTACATTCAACATCAACTCTGATGGGATATCCACAAAAAGGTGGCAGAATTTGGCCTTAGGTTAACATGTGCCATGTACTGCTCATTTCAGCCTCTTCCCAGTGACACAGGGCCTTGATCAGGGATAAAACCTTGCACATCTCTCCTGACTTGCAGGGGAGTGAAGCCAAAGTAGCCCGAGGAGGTGTAAAGGCTTTAGATTTGAATCCACAGCTCCGGGCAAGAAGATGAATAACAGATTGTTTGTGCATACTTACCTGGAGCAAAGAAAGGTATGAGGGAGGGGTTTCAAAAGAACAACTGAGGGCCAAATGCTTCCCGCACTCATATATGATTGGATTATTATGGTGTGAGTGATGATTAGGCTTAGATTGGCAGTAAATGAAGGCAAATTAATTAATTACGGCAGTGAGGCAAAGTGAGAGGTGGCCAAAGTCAATTTCATGGCCTCTGACAGTCGACTGCCAGTGGAGCCAGATGTGGGGGGGCCGGCTGTGAGAGGAAGACCTCCGCATCCTGTACCGCTCCCACACACAAACTGGCAGACGATGAAGGGATAGTGATTGGCATGCAGGCTTCAGATCTGCTCCAGCTAGTTTGTGAGCGCAGGTTTTGGTGTAATTGTCACAATGATTATGTCGCAAAATCCAAGGTGTCAAGGACAAGTTGGTTCAAATCCCAAAACTCCTTCAAGGATTGTAATGATGATTCAGAGAGGGCTGAGACACATGTTGTTTGGCCACGTTTCCCCCAAACACTGCTCTGAAAATCTCTTAAAAGAAAATTCAATTCTTTCATTATGTGGCTCTTAAAATATTGACTGCGATGGCAATAATAGCTCTGCTCAGTGAATAGCAGCCTGAGCACGAGCTCTGTCTGCACTTAGTTACTGTTGCTACCTCGGACAGCTTACTAACAACAAACTGCAGTGTGTATTTGCTTGTAATTCAACACTGTACATATGTATACATTCGCACACACCTTGATTTTGATATTGCAGAGGATGGCCCATTAAGTATACTACCTAAAAGACGGGCCATTACCCGGAACAAAACAGAATAGAGGTAGGTATTATGTCATGTGCGCACACACACTCACACATATACAGATGCAAACAGAGCTTGTCAGAGGGAGCATTCATGCGGGAATACTAGGGATTGTTAGTTTTCCCATCTCCGAACTTTTCTCTCCTTTCCTCCCCCTGTCAGCGGTGACAAGAAGGGATGGTGTGATTTATTCCTGTCATTCAGTAGTAATAACAAGTAGGACGTCCTTTGTTTTGTCTCCGCTGGTGGGAGGGATGCTGCGGCAAGGGATGAGGTGAATGTCAGAGTGGTAGAGATAATTGTCATTCATAAAGTCAGTGTGCTGTTAAAAGGAAATAAAAAGTAAGAGAGAGCCCTTGCCTGCACCTCGAGATCGTGGGTATTTGTGTAGGATTGTACGGGGTGATGAAACAGTCATTGTAGAGTGGAGTAATACAACATGTTCACACAGAAACTTCAACTTTCACTAGTTGGCATTTGATCTACCCGTGGATTCTGTGTCAAATACATACAGTATTTGAGCCCGTCGTTCTTGCATGCACACAAACACTTCAATCTCGTCCTACCTGTCTCGACGTCCTGGGCGTAGAAGTGCAGGGTGTCGCAGATTTCGGTCACGTACACTGGTCTGTAGTTGGCCACTCGCTCCTTCTCCTCTGTTTGATGCACGACTTCCTCGACTGGCTTCTCCTCGTAATTGGCCCAGATCTACAACAAACACACAGGAGACACAGACAGGTCAGCGACCGCAACAAAAACCTGACCTTTGCAACACAAGCATGGTGCTCGAGCATTTTATATTATTCTATGTGTAATATGAGAGGGGAAAACCACATCAATAAGGACAGTAGATTGTGTGTCACAGAACATGACTCAAACTAATGATGGGAAGATGAGAATGCCCTTGATATGTCCCGTCACTAAATGTTTTGAATATCTTTTTCCACCCACTTGAGACATAACAGTGATTCACACATTTTCCACTAATGACTGATTTGGTCACACATTTGTGAGAGCAGCAGAATAATACAAGATACCAGTCATGGCTACATATTACTATAGCATCGTCAAGCCAATATATTTGCTGTCATTATCTCCAGCCAAACTCAAACCCACGATGCCGTCAGCATGTGGCACAGTCTATTGTTTCTACCACAGCTTTCTGAACCACCGTGACACTGCAAAGATTCTCAGCAGATAAATGCAAAGCTCTTGTGCGACAGTCTCATCAACAGACATATAACTAATGATAGAGAAGTAATAAATCAGTCCACTGATTTAACATTCCCCACAGATGATTTCAAAGTAATCATAGCCGTCATAAACAACTCTATAAATTAACAGAACCTGAATAATTCTCATGGTAAAAGAAGCCAAATGATCAGCTTACATCCAAGACGAAAATGGATTTTAAGACACGGCAGAAACTGAAAAGATGGCTGCATGTAGAGCCAAAACAATGGATTCATGGATTACTTGATTGATAGATATGTAACTGGTAATTATTTTGACTATCAAAGAACAGCTGGAGGTATTTTCAAGCAGTAATACCAAAGATTTGCTGGTTCAAGCTTCACAATGTAATGATTTGATGCTGTTATTTGTCATATATCCTCCTGAGACCCGCACTTCTGTTTGGTATGCATTTTTAATATCTCCCAGCTATTTAGGATCAGTAGGACCTGATAAGTTTAAAAAAAATAAACATTGTCAACAATAATAAAGTCCCAATGTCTTCACACAAGTACTCCCTCATTAACAGTTTCTTATCTTGTTACTGTTGTTAAAGTTGGTCAAATTTGTTGCCATAACAAACTATAAACATTATTAATCCTAGATAAACAAGTTTCAACCATAAACTGTGATCAGGTTTAGGACCTTGTCCACTTGTGTCGGGATCAGCTGCAGACTGACTTGGCAGAGATGGCTGCCATCTTGTTTTCACATGGATTAGTGTATTGTGCAAATGATCTTTCTGCATGTTCACCAATGGAAACCATGTTACGGCTTTTAGGAAGCTCCACCAGGGCCACCAGATGGGACAAAAAAGTGTCCATGAACAAGGTTAACAGATCTAAGATAAGTGGAATGAAGTGCACCCAAAGTAAACCCAAAATGTGATGTTCTCATATGAGGACACAGGGTCTCACAAGGACATCATAGCAAACTGAATTTCTTTGGGCTTTGGATCATTGATTGGACAAAACAAGCAACATGAAGACATCACATGGAGCTTGTAGATTTTATAGACGAACTGATTAGCTGATTATCGGAGAGAATAATCCATAGATAAATCAACATTAAATTATAAGCTTTAGTTGCTGCCCTAATTTACAGTTTCTGTCAAAGATAAAGTGAAACTATAAAAAACCAGCTTTGGCTCATAACTGAAAATATGTTCCTGTTAAAATGTGACAATCAGAACATTGTAGAAGTAGAAAATTATGGAGCAAGACATTCAGAAATAACACAGGAAAGCATTCAACATGCCCCCCACTTGTTTAAATGATTTCCAGTGATTGAGGGTAGTTGGCGATGCTGTGCTTTTTTTGGCATGAACCAGACACACCGGACTCAACTCAACGCTTAGCTGCACTTGTCCTTCATTGAACCAAGATATCAGCCGATTTTCAGCTTGATCGGTCATGACTAGTGAACGGCAGATCAGTCTCAGGTGTAGCCGATTTTATGCCGATCAAATTCACATGCACACACCGCACAATGGTTCATGTTACACGCACAGCAGCACAGACAGTAACTGACTATTGTCCCAGCTGCTGCAACCCATTTTCATTCCCAGGTCATCAAACACCAAAGCTATGTCAAGTCCCCTTCTAAGGGGCTTTGCAGATCCTCCTAGCAACTTTATTTCTAAATTCCAACAAAATTAGGCACTTTTTCAGACCATCAAGGACTGTAATTCTTTCCAATGCATGCTGCTCAGAAAAATCAAAGATCGGCACAGGGCCTCTGCTCTCCTCTTGCGCCATGTGCAGAGTGTGCGGCAGGCACGAGGGCGCTGTTCATGCAGAAGTGGGAGCCAATATAAACTGAACACACACCTTTCCATTCTTGTCAACAGATACTGATTCATAAATAGTCTTGTATAAATAAATAAATAGTTTTAGATTTTAAAAAAGGCTGACTCTCTGAGGTAGGTCTGCATGCACAGTATAGAATATTTCTCGGATTCTTCTCTGATATATAAATAGTTTGTTTGACAATGTATAGATCTGCTGAAGTGGTTCTTTTTTGGAAGTAAGATATATTAGATGAAGTGGGATACACTGCAGATAGTTTCAGTTGGATTTTATTTGTCCAAAAAAAGCTCTGTCCAGGAAGCTTGAGCCTTTTCATTTTGAGATTTGCTTGAGTGAGCGCGACAGAAGGTCCTGTAAACTGGTGCAGTTTGAGAAAATTTAAACGCTATTAATAATAGTCAATATTTTATTATTTTTAAACATACAATTGAATTTCCATTAAAGAAAAGTTACAAAAATGTTTGTGAATGCTGTCAATTTCAGTTCCTCGAAATATAGAAAATTGGAATCTTCCAAGTTGGAAACGGCCAAAAGAATCGCAATCGGCGCACTTTCTGTGTGTTCCTGCACTTCCACCTATTCTTCAGAACAAATTTGAGATTTGGACTTTTAGATTGATGGCTGTTTTAAAACATGAGGACATTGTGGCTAATTTAAACGTCTTTAAGGCGTTGTTTTAGAGTTAAGTCCTGGGTTAAGACTCAAATTAGAATTAATTCAGGGCTGGGGTAAACTGTGTAGTGTTGACGATAACATCACAGGTTTAGGAAATAAGGTAGTCAATGAGGCTCCTCACAAACAAAGCGATTTGTGTGTGTAAAAGCAGGCTACATCCTTTCTATGCTGCATCAAGGTTACTTCTCTTTCGGCTCCCCAGGAGAAACAGAGGGCAGAAGGCTCATTAGGGAGAAGTGCTTTGCCTTGGGCCACATATCAAACTGCACGGATGTCAGTAGATGTGTGTGTGTATTTGTGTGCACGTGTGTGTTTACAGAAAGAGTAAGGGATGCGGCAGAAAAGAGTGGGTGGTTGTCAAGACTGAATACAGGGTGTTTGTACACATCTTCAAGTACAGTAATTGTATTTAGCACGTGCACCAACACAGGATGGTCAGGATGAAAGCGAGCTAATCAACTCCCTGCAGATGAAACGCAGGAGAAGGAAAAGGGGGGGGGAGTGAAGGAGGTCTACAGGAGGAGACTGGGAGTAAAGATGGGCGGGGATCTCAGAAGTCAAAAAGTGCAACCAAGCGCCCAACTTCTTGTGCAGCAGCAGCAGCAGCACAGCTTGTTACCGTTCGTTTCTGCAGGCTATTGGGGAAGTGTTTACTTTTAAAGGTTACAGAAAGAGAGGGAAAAGAGGCAGACAGATTTTTTAACAGCGCACTGATATTAGCCAATTAGGTTCTGGCTAATTATTTAACTGCATGGTATCATCGAGCTAATTAGATTAGCTAGTTTTAATGTTGTCATTTTTTTCACTCTGCCTTAGCTCATCTGCAGAGCTACGCTAGTGTTAAGGCTTAGTTAATCATATCCGCGGCTTCCTTTTTTTTTTAATATGCTGGCTCTTCTGCATGCTTAGATTATCCTTTTACCTCATTGATGTGGTGATGTACAGTGGCAAGAGTCTTAGGAGTGAACTGTGTGTGAGTGTGTGTGTAAGCGAAATTGAATGAGATCTGGAGGGGAGAAAAAAAAACAACAATAGCCACGGCCAGGGAAGAAATGCTTCCAACTGTTACCCATAAACGAGTGACAGAAGAACTGAATGCTGCTGCCCTGCCGAGCTCCTGACACAAGGCAGGGTCACACTACCCAATTACATTCAATTATTCATCCCACAAATGCTGCAGAAAAAAGAACAGAGCTGAAGAAGAGAAGGAAATAGGAGGGAAGGAAGGAGGGAAAAAACAGGTAGAAATTCTGGGGATTGAGGGCGAGCAAGGTTAATGAAGACTGAAAACGCAGCCACGCTTCGTAAACCCTGAGATCAACCAGGATTTTTTTTCCTGTGCGGCATTAGACAGGCATGTGCATTATTAGCACACTTATGTACAGCCACATGCACACATTATATGCACAGTCACAAATGCAGGAATGTAAAAATGCTTCCCACAGTGCGATCAAGCTGACATGGCTTGGCTTTTAATCAAACCTGCAGCGCCAATTAAGGATGACTAAGATTAAAGTGTCGCCTTTGATTAGACTGGTGGCCGTCACCGTGGCACCTTTAGGGTGGTGGCAAGTGGGTGGGCTTATGGCGGGATTGGACACCGAGCACAGCCACGAGGCTTCCTGTTGACCCCTGACTTTGTGTCGAGAGTGGATGTCACAGTGAAGAGAGACAGGTACAAAGACCAATAGAAAAACCTGCTTTCTTATTTTAAGTTCTCTATGAACTCTATAAACACAACTAGACTCCCTCCTTGTCTAGCAGGTTTCCACAGAAAATGACATCCTGTTGATTCTCCTACTCCCTTTGTAGCTGCATGTGTAAACTGGGGTGAAAATAAGGTGTCTACACAGGAGGCAAAGCGTGAGTGGCACCTTAGTAAAGCAGCAGCAGTAGCTCCAGTCTCCTTTGGGTAGCGTTTATACAGTGCAAGTGAAACATGAGCTGTCATGCGGCCTGAACTATTCATAATACAAGCATGAAAAACACTCT